TGCAAAACAAAGCAAAACAATTTCCAATGAAATCAAAAGGTTTCATTTCAACATTTTCACTTTTTTTTCTTCCACTTTCTTTTCCACGCTGCCACACCCTCCACGCCAACCAGCTTTACTGCAGGACAGGACCTGGCTCCCTTCGTCGGTCTGAACCTGTTGGCCGATCCCTGAAAACAACTAAATATTAAGAGTCAAAGTCCATTACTTCAGTCAGAGCTAACCACATCTGTGAGCAGAACCTGAATCTGTGGTGAGGGCAGATGTTGGGCCTTCCACCCTCAGGACACTGATTAATTTACTCTGCTTTGTAAATACCAAGAAAAGCCAATGTTGCAATGTTACTTAGGCCATGTCTACACTACAAAATTAAGTCAACCTAAGTTATGTCAGCATACAGCTGCCACAGTAATTACATTGCTTGTATATGGCTAAACTTTACTCCTTGTGTCAGTGAGCATCCTCACCAGCAGCGCTTGTTTCAATTGTACTGTCAGTGTGGGGCATTGTGGGAAGGCTCCTGAAAGCCAGTAACAGTTGACGTAAGCAACACAGTGTCTACACTGAGACTGTGTCGACCCAACTGCATTGACCTTGCCTCTACGCCGCTCGTGGAGGTGAAGTTATTAAATCGGTGTTGCTGGACAGTTACATCGGTGGGAACAAAATGTAAGTGTAGACATTTCCATAGGCAGATCGACGTAAGCTGCCTTGCGCTGACCTAACTCTAGTGTAGACCAGGCCTTATTTTCTACGGGCCCACTCCTTAAGACTTTACTCCCATTGACTTAACTGCTGGTTTTCATTGAGCGGGGAATTTAGGGATTTACTCTATGATATTAAAAGACCTTTAACCTGATTTGAATACTCAGAGCTGGTCAGAACTGTTCACCTAGCACAAAAATCAAACATGGGAATAATTTCCAGGGCTCGAGCATGCTGGGACTGAAAGCAGTTCAACCCCTCGAGAAGCTTGTAGTGTGCTGAGCTGCACAATTTGCAGTTACAGCTGCAAAACGGGCCTTGGGAGGGAATTTGCATTCCAGACTCTATCCGACTTTAAAGGCCAGATGGTCAACTGGTGTCAATCGGTGCAACTCCATTGACTTCAGCAGAGCTGTACTAATGATGTACACTAGCTGAGGGGCTGGCCCTAATGTGTTATCACGTGATTCTCAGTGAGTGCTATCTCTTCCTGGACCACTGGAGCTGAAGACCATGAACATTTCCCCTAGATTTGCAATAAGGTCTTGGATTTGCCCCTTTGGCCTCTCTGATTGGACCTGTGGCCTTGAGGAGTCAAACTTGCTCCTTTTGAGGAGCTGAAGGATGTGCCTTATGTCCCTGGAAGAAATTATATGCTCTGGGTTTGCAGCAAGGGTTTAGCTCTAAGCTGGAGCTTTAATTTTATATCTGGGCACTTTTAATTGACCCGTTTCTTGGCTGGGTGTCCCCACATGCGTGTGCCTTTGACCCCTCAAGGGTTAGATGAGCACCACCTCCTTTAACGTGACTTCCAGGGAAGGCCGCTCTGGCTAGCACAGAATGCAGGTGGCCACTCTGTTGCTCAGGGCAGACTGGCGAAAGCCGATTAGACTGCTGCTCTGTACTCTGCTGCCAGGTCCGTTCCAGAAGGTAGTTAGGATGCTGGTTATGCCCTAAATTATCCGTGTCCCGAGTTCCTCAGAGGTTGCCTCTCATGTGATGCCCTGTTGCTGCACCTGCATTCAGCTGGAGTGGCTGTCCCGGGATGGAGCTCACGGCATTCCCAGCTCCCTTTCTCTGTGCATATAACACAGGCCAGAAATACTTATCGCTCACCTGGTAGCACGCCAAGGCCCACAGGGTAGGGTGTTGGATGGCGTGCCAAGCTCCCCAGGGCAAGATGTTGTCAGTGGCAGGCCCTCTTTGCTTGGTATTTGCTCCTGCTAGAAGTACAGGTAAACCCAAGCCTAGCCACATCTGGAGGCAAATTGTACCCTGAGAGTTGCAAGTGTAACGCCCATTCACTGGGGTGCAACTGAGGCAGAATTTGACCTGTAAGATGAAATCCTAGCCCCACCAAAGTCCATGGTTGCTTTGCCATTGATTTCAGTGGGGCAGGGATTTTACCCTTAGAGCACAGTATAAGATGGGTATTTTGTTTGTTAGGGCATTTTGCCAACTTCAAGCCTTGATATGTTCTAACAGTCTGCTGGCAGCTGTTCCCCATCTTTGGTCCATTCTAGGTGGGGATGAAGTGGTGTGGTGAGTCAAAAACATGCTCTTTGTTTCAGGGAAATTCTTCTAAATTATGTAAGATGCTGTCAGATCCAGTGATGAGTGTCTTGTAAGTGCCCATGGGTATCATTAGGAGAGTGGGACATGTAGATAGCTCTTTTTCTTCTTTTTATTTTATCTTTCTCTGTTTATTTACCACTTTTATCTTTCATCACATTGTGTGCGTCCACCCCCAAACCCAAGCCCCAGATCGGAACAGCACAGCGGGGCTCAAAATAAATCTCTACCTGTGTAAAAGGCAGAATCCAAAGTCCAGATGCAAATCCTCTTGAACTTGGGGCTTGGAAAACAAAACTTTCACCTTGCCATCATCACTGGGACTGTTCAGTTCTGTTTTTCAGATGAAGGCCATTGGGGAGTGAGGTTTGAGTCATAAACCCAAATTCGACATGGATCCTAATCTGAGGCAATGTGCCAAGATTTTCTAACATGACTAGTGATTTTGGGGGGCCCAACTTGAGACTCCTTAAAGAGGCTGATTTTCAGAAAAGGGCCACGCAGCTGCACTCTGAAAATCAGACCCCTGGCAAGTATATCAAGCTGGACACCCAAAAACTGAGACAACCAAAATCACACATCACTTTTACAAATAATTTATATACAGGTAAAGCAGTGCTGGGCAAATGCAGTAAAATGTATGTGTGAATATTCTTGTGAATGAAACTCATTAAGTCATGTTTATTCATTTATTTGCCAATATTTGGGTAGCGAAAATTTTATTCACAAGATTTTTTTTCTTGTGGAAAGCAAAGCACTCGTGCAAATAAATATTCACAAGTACACTCACACCCAAAGTGCTCTCACCGCCATTTAGAAGAGACATTATGATTATTACTGCAAATCTGGCAAACAATTATGAATGTTGGCAGAGTGTTCACAAGCAAACAAGGAACCTTTTCCTTTTATAATGCCTAGGATGTCCAATCAGGCAACAGGAATAAAACAATGTGACTCAGGTGAACAGTCACATGGCATGAATAATAGAAAATAAATACTCATTGTGACAATGAGGAATGGATTGTTGGGTGGTTAGAGCACTGGAGTCTTGATAGACTTGGGGTTAAGCCTCTGCTGTGCCACGGACTTCCCATGTGACCTTGGGCAAGTCACTTAGCCTCTCTGCGCTTCAGTTCCCCCATCTGTAAAATGGGGATAACAACATTGCCCTACAGGGGTGTTGTGAAGATAAATACATTGAATGTTATCACGCCCTCAGATACTAGAGTAATGGGGACCATAAAAAACCCAGAGACAGAGAGACTATCTCATGAGGCTGACATCTTTTCTCACAACCAGTTTGTTGGAATAGCCAATCCCTGTGTACGAATTGTCACCTGGTCACCTGTAATTTGCAAATAGACAAAACAAAAATAAAAGAGGCTACCATTCATCAAAGGGATTGTTTGCTGTGTAGAGTTTTCCCACCTTAATAGAACCCAGTGGCAGCCCAGATGCTTGGATTCAGCTCCAGGTACGACCTCCTAAATAATGCTATCATACAACCTTGCTGTCCCCAAACGGCCCCCTGCTCCTACCAGAGAAAGAAAAACCCCAAAAGATTGTTCATTGCTGTAACGAGTGAGCCCCAAAGACAGAATGTACCAGACCGGTGGTTCCCAAACTTTTTTCCACCAAGGATCCATTTGCCATCTGACTAAATTCCCCAGGCCCGTTTCGTTTTTTATACATAGATTTCATGTTCTTATTATTCTCTTTGTTGGGTTAGTTATTATTTGATCCTTGCTGAGTTCATAGTCCCTTTCAATAGTAGATACATATTTCTTCTTAATGCTTCCACATTTTAACCACAGATCCATTTTTGTCTACAAATTCACGGTCCATTTTGGTCAATTTCACGGTCAGAGGATTTTTTAAAATCATACATTTCATGATTTCAAGTATTTAAAGTTGAAATTTCACAGTGTTGTAATTGTAGGGGTCCTGACCCGAAAAGGAGTCGAGGAGGGTTGCAAGTTTATTGCAGGGTGTGGGTTGCGGAATTGCTACCCTTATTTCTGCGCTGCTGCTGGGTCCCCGGCTCTGAAGGCAACGCAGAAGTAAGGGTGGCAATACTGTGCCTGCCCTAAAATAATCTTGTGACCCCCCCCACCCCGCAACTCCCTTTTGGGTGAGGACCCCCAATTTGAGAAACGCTGGTCTCCCTGTGAAATCTGTATAGCATAGGGACAAGCACACAAAAGACCCGATTTCATGGGGGAGACCAGATTTCACGGTCCGTGAATTTGGTAGGGCCCTACACATCACCCTTATTTTCACTTTAACTAAAATTATATTTGTGGTGTAGTCATGGACAGGCAGGTCCTGGTACTACTGGAATGCCCCCACCAGCGTGAGCTCTCCTGTACCATGTGTGTGAGGTCACGAAGTGCAAGGACACCCTTTTATTCTCAAAATGGCCTGCTCCACACAGCGTGACCTTGCACAAGAAGATGGTGTCCTCTGCACAGGGTGACCTTACATGTACGGTGAGACCACACTGTGGAGAGGACGCCATTTTGAGAACAAGATGGTGTCCCCCTTGTGGTAGAAGTGTCATAACACTCTACCAGCGCATTCCAGCCCCACTGCAGTACTCGGGCTCAAGGGGTGGACCCCCACATAACCCATGGTAGACCCCACTTTGGGAACCACTGGACTAGACAGTCAATTTAATCTTCTCTTTTAAGACCATTATTTATCTTGGAAAGGAAACCACTTACCAGTTCCTTCCTGAGCCAATTCAGAGCTTCCTCAATGCTTTCAAAACCACTTAGTTTCCCTGAAGTAAGAGTCACCTTCTCCTGGGAAGAACTCCCTTTGAGATGCACCTGCACCTTTCTTAAAGGGATGACTTCCTCTGTGGCCTTTTTCTCTTCTTTAACCTCTTCCCCCACAGAGGGCTTGGGGCTCTTCCACGTCTGGTCCTCAAGTTTGGCTTTCCACTCCAAGTAGGAAGGGCGCCTGGTCTCCAGTCTCAGTTTCTCTGTCAGAGCCTTCAGGCTTCTCAGGTGGTCATGTGGGGGTGTGGCATTCTCAGAGGAGGCATCTGGACTGTCCACCACCTCTTCTATTTGGATTCTGGGCAACGACATCCTCTTCTGTAGTAAAATGTTATAGAGGTTGATTGTAAAGTTCAGGGCAACAGCAAAACTCAGGGAATCCTTCTGAGAACAGCTTCCATCTGCTGACTTGATGCACAAAAGCAAGCTCTCATAAGCCTGCCAGCCACATCAGCTGGTTCTCCGCTCCGGCGTCACTTTAATTACGGAAAACACCTAAAAATAACAAATGATTGTTTTAACTGCAAGGAAAAAAAAGGAAATGACAGCTGAGTGACAGCTCCTCCTAAAACCTGGCTGGAATGCAGCATGTGAAAGCACGTTATAAACCACTGTGCAAAGCTCTTCCTGGGTTATGTTACTTCACTACAGATTTCTGATGGTTTTCTTAGGCAAGAATTAACAAGCTCTAAGTTTTAGAGAAACCTTTGTCATGAAGATCTCTCAATCCTTAAGCTTCAGGCCATAATGAGGTCAGGAAGATAGCCTAGTCCCTCTCTAGTGATAGCATAGCATTGCATAACAAGATGCATTCTGGAGGTTTTACACCTTCCTCTGAAACATCCAGCATTGGCCATTGGTGAAGTGAGGCTCTCGATCAAACAGGCTCAGATGAAGTAAAAGCTCAGACTTCCAGTCAGAATTCAAGCCAAAGGGGGTTGGGAAATGTTTGATTAACATTTTTTGTTCCAGCCCAGTTTTTCAGACCTTAATGTTTCAGATACAAAGGATTAGGTCTGTTCAAGCATCTGAACTTTTGGTCCCAAGCCATAATATTCAGATCTATCTCCTCATTGCAGAAGATTGGGAGGAGGGGACAGAGTTTGGCCTGTTATAGATAAAAGGGGTGACTGTGACATAAATATCCAGACTGGGATTCAGACCCCAAATCTTTCCAAAGTTCAGTGTGTTTGGACCTGGGGTTGTGGGCTCCTTGTCTTCTCTGACATAAACACAGAGCAATCTGTATCTTGAAAAACAGAACAAGACCTAAAACCCTACCAAAACAAAACACTCCACTGCACCCTCTTCTCCCCTTGGGAAGAGGCGGAGAGAGCAAACAACACATGACAGGTGTTAATCGCGTCGTTTAATGAACGTACGGTGATGGGCGCAGTATAAGGGCAGCTGTAGAATAGAACAGTATTGGGAACAAACCTTTAAACTTTGAAATTTCACATATCTCCACTCTGCTCACACACCTCTTCGTCTGAGACTAACCCTGCACTGCTGGCACCTTTCACGTGAGGCTATTAGCATGTTTTACAGACATCACTGCTCTGAGGTAGGCAAGATTTATTAGTCAGCTGAGATGGCAGTGGATTAAGATGTGGGTTCTATTCTCACTGACTCCCTGTAGCCATATCACTTCCCCTGTTTGTGCCTCAGCTTGCCCATCTGTAAAATGGAGATAAATGAGGCTGACATGTGAGATCTAAGCACTACTATTGTTACATGGAACGGGGTGATGTTAGGCCCAGATAAGTTAAGTGACTTTCTCAAGGTCATGTGCTAGGTCTGTGGCTGAGCTAGGAATAGATCCAAAGGACTAAAAACACAAAACAAAAATACGTACTGCTGGGTTGGTAGCATGCCCAGAAAGAACTGCCAGTGGATATCCAGCCTTCTAGCTGAATACACTAAATATTGTAATCTGAGTGATTCAGTCATTCTTCTGCCTGCTATTCATGCCCACGAGGGCCCCTGTAATTTTGAAATTAAGACCACAATTACTCCTCGCAAATCTTTTCAGCGAAGATTCAATTTAAAATAAACACCAGCAGGCAGCAAGGTTTGCCCCACTGTTGTGTGTCGGCAGGGAAACCGACTGGGAAGCTGATAATATACACACAGACAGTCTGTAGGTGGAGAGCTATTCAAGCGACAGGCTTGTTCCTGCTCCCCAGATTCATGGGAGCTATCTTAGGGGCAGGATGAGGCTGCAAAGCTAGAGTAGATTCAAGCTCGCAGCTCTCGCTGCGGCTCGTCTGGATGTCTGATGGAAGCATCAGAGGCTGGCTGTTAGGATCCATGCATGCTGCTGAGGAAGGGTGAGTTAGTGGCTAAAGCAGGGTGATAGGCGATCTGGGTCCAGCTGCCAGCTCTTCCACAGAGTCTCTGTGTGATCTTGGTTAAGTCACTCTCTCCGGTCGAGATCTTTAAAGGTATCTAAACACCCAACTCCCATTGAAATCAACAAGAATGAGGTGCCTATCTACCTTTGAGGATGTGGGCCTCTGCGATGCAGTTCCCTAGGTGTGAAATGGGGATATAAATACTTATAATTATTTGGATTATGGTAGCGCCTTGCCCTGCCCCCTTTGTGGTCGGTGCTCTACAGATTCTTTTGTCTGTCTTGTCTATTTAGGTTGCATAAACTATTCAGAGCAGGGATTGTCCCTCACTGTGTCTGTATGTGGCTAGTACAATAGGATCCTGAAACTACTGTTCCAGGATCAGGCCCTTACCTCCTGTCCCTGCACTGGTATTCCCCAGTGGGGAAATGACACTTTCTCTCATTGTCACAGGTCCCTGGCTCAGGATTTTTTCTGCATTGAAAGACAAACCACTGCCATTGTGAGCCTCGAACCCGTCGCCACTCTCGCCCCAAGCGAAAATAGGCAGTTTTCACTGTGAAACCTCCCAGGCCGCCCTGTCTCAAAACGTGCAAATAGATTTTTCTTTTGAACAGCAAAGTGTCTTATCCCTCCCACCCTTTCCAAATTCAACGCTGACAAAAGGGATTTTGTTCCCGCTTCCCCCCGAGGTACATTCACCGGGGATCAGAAAGCTAATGCGGAAAGTTATAAGCATGTAAAAAAGTGTGTGGAGTTCTAAGAGAACCAGTTTCGTAACCCTAACCCTAATTTGCTCCCAGCCTCTGGCTAGGATAAACAGAGATCCATCATATCCGAAATCTGGGACCTAAGTTATGTTCAGCCCTTTGCGCTGCCTTCTGCACAGGAGTCAATGCCACCCTCTAAGCTAGTGCACTTCATCAGTGCGATACGGTATATACTCCAGCTCAGGCATAATATATATCCAATATCCATGGCAACATGTGACACGTTGTATAGGTAAGAAGGAACAGTAACTAGTACACATTATTTATAGCGAATTATTGAAAAGGCTCTGCCTGGAGAGAATGACTCGGTTTGCTTGGTTACTGCTGACAGGTGAAAAGAACAGGAGGACTTGTGGAACCTTCGAGACTAACAAATTTATTTGAGCAAAAGCTTTCATGAGCCACAGCCCACTTCATCGGATGCATTCAGTGGAAAATACAGTGGGGAGATTTATATACATAGAGAACATGAAACAATGGGTGTTACCATACACACTGTAAGGAGAAAAGGAGTACTTGTGGCACCTTAGAGACTAACCAATTTATTTGAGCATGAGCTTTCGTGAGCTACAGCTCACTTCATCAGATGTTTACCGTGGAAACTGCAGCAGACTTTATATACACACAGAGAATATGAAACAATACCTCCTCCCACCCCACTGTCCTGCTGGTAATAGCTTATCTAAAGTGATCAACAGGTGGGCCATTTCCAGCACAAACCCAGGTTTTCTCACCCTCCACCCCCCCACACAAATTCACTCTCCTGCTGGTGCTAGCCCATCCAAAGTGACAACTCTTTACATAGTCAAGTCGGGCTATTTCCTGCATAGATCCAGGTTTTCTCACATCCCCCCCACCCCCATACACACACAAACTCACTCTCCTGCTGGTAATAGCTCATCTAAACTGACCACTCTCCAAGTTTAAATCCAAGTTAAACCAGAACATCTGGGGGGGGGGGGGTAGGAAAAAACAAGAGGAAACAGGCTACCAGCAGGACAGTGGGGTGGGAGGAGGTATTGTTTCATATTCTCTGTGTGTATATAAAGTCTGCTGCAGTTTCCACGGTAAACATCTGATGAAGTGAGCTGTAGCTCACGAAAGCTCATGCTCAAATAAATTGGTTAGTCTCTAAGGTGCCACAAGTACTCCTTTTCTTTTTGCGAATACAGACTAACACGGCTGTTCCTCTGAAAACTGTAAGGAGAGTGATCGGGTAAGGTGAGCTATTACCAGCAGGAGAGCGGGGGTGGGGGTGGGGGGGAAACCTTTTGTAGTGATAATCAAGGTGGGCTATTTCCAGCAGTTGACAAGAACGTCTGAGGAACAGTGTGTGTGGGGGGAAATAAACATGGGAAAATAGTTTTACTTTGTGTGATGACCCATCCACTCCCAGTCTCTATTCAAGCCTAAGTTAATTGTATCCAGTTTGCAAATTAATTCCAATTCAGCAGTCTCTTGTTGGAGTCTGTTTTTGAAGTTTTTTTGTTGAAGAATTGCAACTTTTAGGTCTATAATCGGGTGACCAAAGAGATTGAAGTGTTCTCTGACTGGTTTTTGAATCTTATAATTCTTGACATCTGATTTGTGTCCATTTATTCTTTTACATAGAGACTGTCCAGTTTGACCAGTGTACATGGCAGAGGGGCATTGCTGGCACATGATGGCCTCCCTGGCCCATAAGTGAGTATGGCTCGAGCCAGCATTCCTTGTGTACCCATTGAAATCAATGGGCCTTTGCAATGAGCAGATAATGCTCTGGTTTTCTGTTCCTGCAACGGGTTAAGAAGAGGGCATTTCGTGAAATATGAAGAGAGCGGAGACTCACTTGGCTGATTTTTAGAACAGATAAGAAAACAAATCACGTTATTGCAATGCATGATTCAGCCTGTGGAGCCCACTGCCACATGATATTACTGAGAAAATAGTAAACTCTGAAACAGACTTGGACATTTGTGAAACCGATAACTATAGCAACTGTAGTAAAAGCAGCTAGGGTAACAATATTCAAGTGCTTTCAATACTCATGACATACTGTGTAAGCTAATTGCCCCTGGGAACAGGAAGATATTCCCTGCCCCCAACCATGGCATTGCACTACACGATGAGATGCATTGTGAGGGTTTTATACTTCCTCTGAAGCATCTGGCATTGGTCACTATTGAAAACAAAATGGTAATCTACTGTAGTTGGGCCATTGATCTGTTCCAGTAAGCATGGCTATTCCTATGTTTCTAACTGTACAGTTACAGCTTTAGCCTTTGAATATTGTTACCCTAGATGCTTTTACTGTCCAAGTCAGTTTCACATTTGCCTCAGTAATATCATGTGGCAGTGGGTTCCGCAGGCTAACTCACACACTGCATTAACA